GGGGGGAAAGGGGAGGAAATTGAGGGGGAAACAGGGAGAAATTTGGGGAGAATTGGAAAAAATTGGGAGAAATTTGCAGAGGGGAAAGGGGGTGAATTTTGGGTGGGAGGGGAAAATTTAGGGAGAAAAGGGAAGAAATTCAGGGAGAAAGAAGAAATTGAGGGAAAAAGGAATGGGGATAAAGGGGGGATTTGGGATAAAAGTAGGGGAAATTGGGATAAAAGCAGGGGGAACTGAGTAAAATGGGGGGAATTGGGATAAAACCAGAGGGAACTGGGTAAAACAACAGGGGATTGGGATAAAACCAGGGGATTGTGATAAAAGGAGGGTTTTGGGATAAAAGTGAAAGGAATTGGGATAAAAGAAGGGAATTGGGATAAAAACAGGGGATTGGGATAAAAGCGGAAATCTGGGATAAACCCAAAAGCAACTGGATAAAACAACAGGGAACTGGGATAAAAAGGGGAATTTGGGATAAAAGCAGGGGATTGTGATAAAAGGCAGAAATTGGGATAAAACCAGGGGGAACTAGGTGAAACAACAGGGGATTGTGATAAAAGGAAAATTCGGGATAAAACCAAAAGCAACTGGATAAAACAACAAGGAATTGGGATAAAACCAGGGGGGAATTGGAATAAAAAGGGGGAGTTAGGATAAAAGGGGGAATTTGGGATAAAACCAGAGACAATTGGATAAAACAACAAGGAATTGGGATAAAAAACAAGGAATTGGGATAAAACCAGCACCAATTTTGATTTTTTTGGAATTCTCACCCATTCTCGGGTGCCCGTTTCCGGGCCGCGTGCGCCTTCAGGATCTTCTGATGCTCCTCGTAGGCCTTGAGCAGGCTGGGGAGGGGGCAGCGCTCAGCGTGGGCGGCACCAGAAGCCCCCAGACCCTTTTTTTTTTTAATTTTTATTTTTTTTGGGGGGTGTTTCTTGCCCCCCRCTCTCTGAACCTGTGGATGCTGGAGCCGAAATCCTCGAGGAATTCGACGCGGCGCTGCGAGAAGAGGAGTTTGGCCTCGTCGGGCAGGGGGCTGCGCAGCGCCCGCTCGAAGCAGCTCATGGTGTTCCCCTCGTTCTGCCCCACGTCGGCCCCAAATTCCATCTCCAGGAGGTTGGCGTGCAGCCGGGCGTTGTCCTGTGGGGGAAAAATAATAATAAAATAAAAAAAAACAGGGTTGGAGGGGGTTTGGGGTGAGTTTGAGGGGTTTGGAGGGGG